AGCAAAGCACAGGGACCGCGGTTCAATCCCCCAGCACCACATGCCAGCCAGCCCCGCCCCCTGGTGGGCTGAGCTGGCCACACATAAATAAATAAATAAATAAATAAATAAATAAATAAATACTGTTCCTGGGAATTTCTCTAAAAAAAAAAAAAAAGCATACCTAAACCAAGCATGGTGATGTATGCCTTTTAACACTCTAGGAGACTTGAGGCAGGATGATGACAATTTAGGCCCAGCCTAGGCAGTGCAGTGACTTACAGTTTATGTCTGGTTGTCCCCCCAAAGCCTCATGCAGTCATGGAGCAGACTTCTAGAGTTTGTAATTAACTGATGATCCACTGGGATTATGGGTATAGTACTCTCAGCCTGTGGCAGATAGCATGAATGCAATTGAAGGGAGAAGATTTGCTCTCTGCAGCCATTGTTGCTGCAACTTCTCCATTTTGCTCTTGCTCTTTGCTGCTGCCCTGAAAAGTTGCTCTCACCTTGTGCTGCTCTGCCTTGGAGCTGGCTGTATATGGACTGAAACCTCCAGTAACTGTGAGCAAAGTAAACCTTTCCTTTCTTAATTTTGGGTGTCAGGTATTTTGTTCCAGCAAGGAGAGAAAACTGAGACCGTGACTTAACAAGACTGTCTCAAAAAAATAAATTAAAGGGGCCAGCAAGATAGCTCAGCAGACTAAGCACCTGCTTTGGCAAGCACAGGGATCACAGTTCATCCCCAGTCCCCCACATGCCTTGCCAGCCCTGCCCCCAGGGCACACTGAGCGAGCGACAGAGTCTGGGCATGGTGGCGCACCTCAGTAATCCCAGCACTGGGGAGGCTGAAAACAGGATCACCACAAATCTGATCTGTGTAGTGAAACTCTGTACCAAATACACAAATGAAAATAAATGATAAATAAAAAGGTAACCACTAAGAAGAATATATGCAGTGTATTATTTTTTGAAACTGTACTTCCGATTTGATTTGAAACTGTCTCATTGCTATCTGTTTATCAATAAAATTTTGAAAAAAAAAAAGGGCTAGGATGTAGCTCTGTGCAAATGTCTAAAAAACAGCAACAGGGCTGGCCAAATAGCTCAGGGGATTAAAGCGCCTTCAAGCAGGCGCAGGGACCAGGTGTGCAATCCCCTCCTGCCGTGCTGGCCCCACCCCCGGGGCATGGTGAGACAACAATTGAGACTGGGTATGGTGGCATGCACCTGTAATCCCAGCTCTTGGAAGGCTGTAAACAGGGGGATCACTCCAAGTCTGATCTAGTAGTGAGACCCTGAACACCCTGTAGGGCCCGTCCCTAAAATATACAAAAATTAAATTTAAAAAAAAGCAACAAAAGTAAACCACATGTGTATATGCATTTATGCATCCATGGACAGACACATTGTTCTGGTAAACACTAGGCTCAAATTTTGATATAAACAGCATCAGTAGTTGGAAAAACTTGGCCACAGATTTTGTTCTATGTACGGGAAAATATTTTTGACCAGGTATTACCCCTCATAAAGTATGTGACTTCTAATTGTGTCTGAGCCCCTGCCATTTGTGTGATTATTTCTGGAACTACCTGAGAAATTAATCTTGAAAGACTGCCTTCATTCGTGAAGTTTTCATTTCATTTTATTTTTTATGTATTTTGTACAGGGTCTCACTACGCAGGTTGGACTTGTAGTGATCCTCCTGTTTTCAGCCTTCCCAGTGCTGGGACTACAGGTGTGTGCCACCACATCTGGACTCAGTTGCCAACTCAGTGCGCCCAGGGGTGGGGCTGGCGCGGCATCCGGTACTGGTGATCAAACCCCTGTTCCTGCACTTGCCTAAGCAGGTGCTTAGTCTGTTAAGCTATCTCACCGGCCCTATGAAGTTTTAAAATACTTTCTGTAGCAAAATGTAGTAAGCAGCAGAGATTTAGATTAGGAAATATGGGAAAACCTTCCTCATTGAATGCACTTTCACCCATAATGAAAGTATTTCCAATTAAACACAGGTAAAGAAGATGATTTTAGCAATGCTCTTACGTGTAATTTCTCTGTAGGCCCTCAACAGTTTGTACTACATGTATTCACGCATAGTTTTGGATCTCTTGATAAATTGTACGCCTTTACAAATGAAGCTGGAGAGACTGGGCGACTGGGCGTGGTGGTGCGCGCCTGTAACCCCAGCCCCTGGGAGGCTGTAAACAGGAGGCTCACTGAGTCCGATCTGTGTGGTGAGACCCTGTAGACCTTGTACTAAATACATTAAAAAAAAAAAAGTGAGACATGGTGTTGCCACCTATAATCCCAGTACTCAGGGAGGCTGAAAGAGGTGGATTTCTTTTCTTTTTTTTTTTTTTTAAATTATTTATTTATTTATGTGTGTGTGTGTGTGTGTGTGTGTGTGTGTGTGTGGCCAGCTCAGCCCACCAGGGGGCGGGGCTGGCTGGCATGTGGTGCTGGAGGATTGAACCGTGGTCCCTGTGCTTTGCTAAGCTTGTTTGTTCTAAGTAGGTGCTTTAGACCACTGAGCCATCTCACCAGCCCTAGGTGGATTTCAAATTTGCCCAGCCTGGGCAATTTAGACATTTAGACCATGTCTCAAAAATATGGCCTGAGGATGTTGCTCAGTGCCAAGGCCCTAGTTTCAATCTCCAGCACTGCAAAAGAAAAAAAAAAAAAAATGGTGCTCAAGTTTATTATTTTATAGCGACCCCAGTAGTCTATACTGCCAAAATCAGAACACTAGAAACTTTGTAAGTAAAAAGATTTTAACTAGGCCGGGTGTGTCAGCGCTTGCCTGTAATCCTGTAATCCCAGCATTTTGGAGGTTCAGGCAGGAGGGTCTCTGAGTTCCAGGCCAGCCTTTACTTCCTGTCTCAAAAAAGGGGTCTCACGTGTCTAAGACAGATGTATAACGCGTGTTAATGTGCTCCTCTGTAAGGATTATCCTGTGAACTAGTAGTAACACCTACTCTCACTTGACTGATTTTTGCTTTGATTTTATAAAACCTCATCGAGGGGCCCGGGAGATGGCTCAGTGGAATAAGCGCTTCCCTGGCAAGTGCAAGGGCCTGAGTTCAATCCCTGGTTCCGCCAAAATCCAAAACCAAAACCAAAAAAACCCGTACCTCATCAGTCCTACAGTTAAAGAGGATGGTAGTTCTGTTTGCCTCTAATCCCATTCCCATTTTTTTCAGAGCTCCTCATCGTGAACGAGGGACATCATGTCTCTGCATAACAGAAGGTGTTTCGTAGGGATTTAAGACCTAACTAGCTGGACAGAGCGCCGGGCTTAAGATTCTGCAAACCCTTCTTCCCCTCCCCACCCGCAAAGCGTCATCCGATCCAAGATGGCTCCCCAGAAACGTAATTTAAGTGTTGTTTCTGCGTAGAGCGCCCTCGGCAGCGGGGGCCAACTAGAGACGCCGAGAGGCCGCCCACCTGCGAACTGAGTCGTCAGAGGCGGCTGCCGCCAGATTTTATTTTCAGTCGGGCATGTGTGTGGTCGCCTATGGACCCTTCCCAGCCCTTGAGGACCTCCCACCCTCGAGAGACTTCCTGGATGGCGTTCACACTAGCGCGCTGGAAGGGGCCGGATTCGGCCCTGCGATTGGCGGATGGGAGCGAAGGTGGGCGGGCCGCA